TGGAGAACTTGCTTGGTTCTGGCTCTGGGTCCCATCACCAGTGTGGCTAAGAGAAAAAAAAGGAAAAGAGAGAAGGCTTGGAGAAAGAGAGGAAGAGACTGGGAAAATCACTGTGCAGACTGATTTAAAATTGGTTGTGATCTACATGAGCTTGAAGCAGCTTTGGCAGTCAGAGGGTTATTGGCTCCTTTCCTGGTTTTCAGTCTTGAAGCTAATTAGTTATCAGGTCTTATGTAACCTCTCAAGTAGTCACAGAACCTCTTGGCTCTCTGACTGCTTGGGCCAGAGACCCTGGCAGTGTTGTACGATGGCCAGCAGAGGGACCCACAAGCTTCTTTAACCATGGCTGGCTTCTGCCTCTTGGCCTGCATGGCTGGTGAAGAGGCTACTTGCCAAGTAAGACGGCCTGTGCATTTTAAGACAGGAACCACGTTTCATAGAGGGCTGTTTTGCTCTGTGGATCCATTGCTTTGCTTAGCTAGCTTCACCGCCGAAGTCCTGCAGGGCAGGCCAGGGGCTGTTTTGTTCGACTTCGTAGACCTTAGCAACAAAGTAGTACAGTTGTACCTCAGCCCTACATCACATAAAAGTCACCTAAGTCACACTGGTGCTGTGTGTTACGTAATTTTTTATTTAGTGTGTTACCCCGGACTCCACCCAAACCGATTCTTTAATACTTTAGATTAGCCCTGAGTTCTTTGTTTCTCAGTGCCTAACTAGGAACCCCTGCTCCTATCCCGAAGTCACCCCTGTAAAGCACACAGCTATGTAAAGGGATCTCACCCTCACAGGCCAGCTCAGTTAGGTCTGCAGTAATTCTGAGCGTCTTCTGGTCCACACACATTAATTACTCCAGGGGCTTGACAACAGAGTTTTGAGATGTGGACCTCAGATCAGCAAAGCTCAGGTGGTGGTGGCGGATTCTCTAGTTTCCCTCATTGCCTTCCCTGGTCTGCTCTCAGAACATAGAATCCTGCTTCTTGCCTCCTTAGAGTTCCCACCAGCTTCTGTTAGAAGTCAAGGTTTCCCTGGGTCTGCTTTTAGCTAACCCTTCAGATTACACGTGCATTGTGCCAGCCCTGTCTCTCTCAGTGCTGTGATGGCACTGAGAGAGGCGCTGAAGTGTCAGTTTTAGGGTACTATTTTGTTTATAGAGGATGTCTCCAGATGCAATCGAGGAAATAACATTTGCTAGGCAAGCTGTGAAATTGGCTTGCAGCTTTTCTGTATCATGCCTACAATTTGGTTAGGTCACTTAGTGAAAGTGGAGGCATATGAAGATAGGTTGCTGAAGAGCAGAGTTCTCATGGTTCTTGCAGGTGACCTAGGGAAATCCAAATTCATACCAACATCTTTGGGAGGACTATGGCTGGAAAAAATGGGCCAGTGATTAAGAGCACTGTTGCTTTTGCTGATGACCTGTGTTCAGTTCCCAGCACCCAGAGGATTCGGCACCTTCTCTCCTTCCTGGGCATGGCATGCATGTGTGTATGTGTGCCGCCTGGTGTTCATGAAGGGCAGAAGAGGGTGTCAGATGCTCTGAAATAGGAGTTATGTAGAGTTTTTAGGCTCACATGGGCACTGGGAACCAAACTTTGATCTTCTGTGCGAACTCTTAATTAGTTACTTTCTAGTCATAAGATTTCAGTCTTTTAAAAGGCATTTCCCTTGTAAGAGGAAGGAATATTGAAAAGTGGAAAGGCTCAGAGGATGGAGCCTTTGTCCTGTAACCAAGAGGTTGGAGTGGTTTAAAGGAATAAGCATAAGTACCTAGGAACTGAGTGTTGCCAGTGGGTGAGAAGTTAGGGGTGCTCCCCAGATTTCTGACCTTAGGTTCTTCAAGACTAGCGTGCAGGGAGGAGCTAGTTTGATGGAAAGAGTAGTCATGATAGTTTCAGAGTTGTTGATTTCAAAGCATCTGGTGTATCTGCGTGGAGATCTGTGGGAGGCTCTTGGCCACAGAGGTTCTCAGCTCAGCCTCCCTAGCTTGGAAACATGAATTTCTCCATCAAAGCCTGTAGTAGCTATTGAGATTGTCTGTTTTGGATGAGGGAATCAGTAAGAGGCTTGGAGGGGAAAATTTGGCATTAGAGAACTGAGACAAAAAAGAACCCTGAAGCCATTTGAGGTTCAGGGTATGGTTCTTTATGGTGGGGAGAGCATAGCAGCAGGAGTGGGAGGCAGCTGGCCACACTGCAGCCTCAGTCTGGGCTCAGAGATGTTGCTGGTACTCAGCTCACTTTCTCCTTTTATTTAGTCCAGGACCCCAGCCCATGGGATGGTGTCATCTGCATAATCCCACCCCCAATTAACCCAGTCTAGAAAGTACTTCATAGGCTTGTCCAGAGGTTTGTTTCCATGGTGATGATGAATCCAATAAAGTTGACAATCCATATTGACCAGGGTTACATACTGTAACCCTGATGTCTGAGAGGCTGAAGCAGAAGGCCCAGGAGTTCAGGGTCATCCTCAGCTAGATAGCAACTTCTAGGCCAGCCTGTCATAGGAAATAAAAATGAGATACCTCGATAAAGGTACTCACCACCAAGCTTAAACACTTGAGTTTGATTTCTGGAATCCACATGGCAGAAAGAGAAACAACCATAAGTTGTCTCTGACCATGTGTGCTGTGGCTTTCACACACACACGCTAAATAAATGAATAAACATTTAAACATTCTTTTTAAAAGAAATCAAGACAAACAAATCTGAGCAGTATATAATCTTATGCCCAAAACTGAATTCTTAGCCGTTTCTAAGCAGAGACTAGTCAATGAAGATAATTTTGTCTTTTATTTTCTTTAAGAAAACATTTTTCATTTTCCAAATAAAAATTAGTATAACAAATATGGACATATAGGGAGTTCTGTTGTTGGTAGTGTTTTTATTTTTATTTTTTTTCAAGACAGGGTTTCTCTGTGTAGCCCTGGCTGTCCTGGAACTCAATCTGTAGACCAAGCTGTTCTGTTTTTTTTTTTTTGTTTGTTTTGTTTTGTTTTTGAGACAGGATCTCACTTTCCAGATCAGACTAGTCTCTAACTCATGGAATCTGCCTGTCTCTGTCTTACAAGTACAGGGATCAAAGGCTTGTGCCACCATGCACGGCGCAATGTGCTTTACATTTTTTTGTCTGTCTTTTATGAGTGTGGGTGTACAAGCGGCATGGTGCAGTACAGGGAGGTTAGAAGACAACCCTTGGGGGTCACTTTCTCTTGCCACGTTGCAGAACCCAGGAGCAGAGCTCAGGTCATTAGATCTGCAGGAAAGCACCTCTATTTAGTGAGCCAATTCCCCATCACTCAGATCTGATTTTGAAACTGCACCTCTGCTGTTGCTGTCTTAGGAAGCGTCATGCCTGTGCACCCTGTAGGATCCTGGCACACATGGACCACTGAGTGGAGGTCTGCTGTCCGCTTCTGACTCTTCCTTATTGCAGGGCCACGTGGCAGTGATTCTCCAGTTCTTTTCTGACAGTGACTTGATCAAGACCCAAGGTCCTTCAGGGCGAGAGAGTTTTAAAAGCTTTCGTGCTTTTCTTTTGACAGAGCAGAGAAGCTTCAGCTGCTGAATCACAGGCCAATGACCGCTGTTGAGATCCAGCTGGTGAGTGGGGGAGGGGCCCTGGACTCAGCTTGTTCTGTGTGGGTCTGAGATGCAGAAAGGCTGAGAATGAACAAGTCAGGGCCTGCACACCCACCCAGTGCCCTAAGTGAAGGGAGAGACCCGAGGTCTCACCAATTGGCCCTAGTTAATGTGGACTTGAGAGAGTGGAAGCTAGAAATGTAATTCCTTCCATGGGTTTGGCAGCCTTGTGTCCTCTGCTTCTCCAGGGCTTTCTGGCTGTAGCTTGCCTGTAGGGATTTTAGCCAACCAGATGTTGCATGAAAACACTGAACTCAGCGTGTCCCCCACGCCCACCTTTCCACCTCTCTTCCCTATGTGTTGTCTTCCTCTCCTGCCCACCTGTGTCAGCCTCTCAGGGGAAGCTCTCGTTCCAGCTGAGACTCAGTTGCCTCCCCATTTCTGTTGCATCCACCTCTCCTTATTTCTGCATAGAAATAGCATTGACTTCTGGACTCAGCCTGCAGCTTCCACCCTGCTCCCTGCTCCTGTGCCGCTGTGGATCCCGCCTTCCAGACAGGGTCTCAGTCAGCCCCACCTCCTTAGCCTCCCATGTGCTGGGCTTACAAACATGTGCGACCACACCTAGCTTACAGATCACTTTCTAAACTCATAAAGCTCTCATTTCCCTTCGTAAGAATGTCTAATGGAGCTCAGATGTATAAAGGCCAAACTGCAGTCACAGTGTAGGCTTCAGCAATGGTGGGCAAGGAGAGAGTAGGGGTGGTCTAAGGAGAAAGTGAAGGGAGAGCTAGTGAGAGGCTCCTCTCATGTGCTTTGTGGTAGGTGTCTCCCGATACAGAGCCTCAGCAAGCAGGTCCTATCACCACCAGGAAATCTGTGGTTTTGAGAATTAGTAAAATGGTTTCCAAAGTTTGTCTCAGAAATATCCAGCTCCTGGCTGAATGCCTTTAATCCCAGCACTCAGAAGCAGAGGCTGGTGAATCTCAGAGTTTGAGGCCAGCCTGGTACAGAACAAGTTCCAGGACAGTCAGAACTACATAGAGAAACCCTGTCTGGGGGAGAAATAGTTGGGTGTGCTGGCACATGCCTGTGATCCCAGCACTCAGGGAGGTGTAGAGGCAAATGAATCTCTGTGAGTTTGAGGCCAGCCTTGTCTACAAAGTGAGTCCAAGACAGCCAGGGCTACACAGAGAAACCCTGTCTCGAAAAACCAGCAAAAGAAAAAAAAATAGCCCTTAAGCATGGGTTGGTGGTGCTTGCCTGTGATCCCTCTGTGTGGGGGCAGAGGCTAGAGTGTGGTAGTTTGAGGTCAGCCTGGGTCACATAATACACTCCTATCTTGTTTACGTATAATAAACAAACAAACAAGAGAATAAAAGTGGTCAGCTCTTTGTAAAATTTACAAAACTGGAAGACAATGGCCAAAGTACCTCTATGATCTTGAAGAATTTCTTACTTAAAACATTTCCAAGGTTATAAAGTAGTTAGTTTTTGACTAAAACCTTCATTGTCTTCCTAGAGTTGTTTCTGTCCTTCCGAATGTACCCAAAATTAAATTACAAAAATTCCTTCCATTCTGGGGAGCTTCCTGGGGGTTTTGGCCTGTATGCTAAACAGAGGTCCCTGTCTGTTTGTCCTTATTGTTCAAGATGTTAGACAGATTCAGCTTACAGGAGAGGGAAAGATCAAGAAACCATCCCTGTCCCTTGGGTTAAGGATCACAGGTTGGGCCTCCTCCAACTTTAATCAGCACCATATGCTATTCGTGGCTGAGTGACAGACGGAGAGGAGAGATGAGGAGGATTAGCGTGGCTCCATCCTGAGCCCTTGGAAAGCTCTGGGGTTGCTTAGTGAGAGCTGATACTGAGTGCTTTGACCATGTCAGACATGTTCTTGAGGGCCTTGTCAATGTCACTGTCAGTGTTGGAGGAGGACAGAGGTCCCCACGTTTTTATTCCAGAGGACCGTGAGTTGTTCCTCTTGACGTTGTTCCTCTTCTAAGCTGTGTTTCCAGAGACAGAGATGAGAGGGGGCTTAGTAAGGAAGTAGGTCTCATGGTTGTGGGAGCACAGAGCCCCCTCAGAAAGCCCAAGATACTGAGGACCCCAAGATATACTAGAAGATTGGCTCAGTCTAAGTATAAAGTCCTCAGAATCAAGGAAGCTGATGTAACAGTCTGAGGCCTGCCAGTGGGCCTGAGCTCAGGGTCACTGTTGTGTGTCTGACAGCTTAAAGGCCAGAGAGCCTGAGCTGGGGTGTCCCACCATGTGAGTGAAATGTCTTGTTCCTGGGGAGACATTTGGGGTAAGAATGGTGCCATCCTGGCCCCACCCACTTGGATGGTGCTCACCTGCATTGAGAGTAGACATTGTACACCAAGTCCATTAGCTCACACACAGGCTTCTTCACAGTCACCTCACAGACGCACCCCAAACCTTACCAGTTGTCCAGGAATGGTACAGTCCAGTTGATGTCTAAAGTCACCATCACACCTGGTGAGACTGTTGGCATGGTCCCGCAGGTACTTCTCTTTCTACACACCCTTTCTTCCCTGCAACTAGACTATTTTCTAGGCAGATTTTTTTTTTCTACCCTAGAATTGGCTACAAAAGATACAAGCTGTTGAACAGAGCTTTGAGCAGCATCCTGTCTACCAGAGAGCATGAGGAATAAGAGTCTCATAGAGGCTGGAGAGTACAGGACCTGGGAACGAGTCTGTAGTAACTACAGCTGTGTGTTCTCCCCAGACTCAGAAAGTGGCCACTCGTCCATGCTTGTTAAAATTCAGTTGAGAGCAAGAGGTACCTCAGCTGGAGGTTTTTTGTGGTCCTTTGGTGGCTATCCACTGAGAGGCTCTGTGAAGAAATGGGCCTGCCATGTGACTGCAGCTTGCTCTTCTGTGGCCCTTTCAGAACAGTCTAGGAGCCCTCTGAAGGTGGGTCAGAGAATCCTGTGACCTCACAGGTCATTGTCCTGCACAGCATTGCTGCCTGTGCCCATTAAGTTCCCTGGCTTACTAAACAGCTTTTCAGGTCCCCAGTGGTGCTCACTGTAGGCTTTGCTTCAACTTAGCTGAGGAAGCTTATATTTCAGAGGCTGCGTGGGCTGCTGGGCCAAACAGCAGCAGGTCACCACTGTTGCCACAGCTGACTTGTTTGTTTTTGTTTTTGTTTATTTTTTTGGCGACAGGTTATCTCTGTGTGTAGCTCTGACTGTCCTGGAACACACTTTATAGACCAGGCTGGCTTTGATCTCACAGAGATCCTACTGCCTCTGCCTCCCCAGTGTTGGGATTGCCTGTCTCAGCTGAGTTTTTCTTTTATCCAAGGCAAATTCTGTGCTTAGTCTTGGACCTTATTCCCAGGATATCTAACTTAAGGCCCAACTTTCAACAAAGTATTAATTTATATTTCATATATACTATAACATATAGATTGAAAGTAATTGTATGCAGTATTTCAGTAAATATGGTAAACCACTGCTTTTTTTTGTTTGTTTTTTGTTTTTAAACTTCATCCTGTCAGTGAGGTCAGGAACACAATTTTCCTCCTAGATGGAGAGCAGTTTCACATTAGTGTTCTGAAAGGTTTCCATTCTTAGGGGTGGGGTGGGAGAGATGGCTTAGTGGGTAAAGCACTTGCTCCACAAAACTTGGCCTGAGTTTAGGTCACCCAAACCCACACAAAGATAGTGTGAGCATCTGTAATCCCAGAGCGCCTCTAGGGAGATGAGTGGCAGGGAGAGGAGAATCCCTGCAAACAGACCAACTATCCTGGCATACATATGCAGTGGAATCAACAAAAGACCCTGGCTTAGAATAGGTGGAAGGTGAGGGCTGTACCCAAGGTTGTCTTCTGACATACACACACTGGGGCACACTCGCTTGAGCATGTGTGTTTGCACGCGCGCGCGCGCACACACACACACACACACACACACAGATTAAGAACTTTAACAATGAAAGAGAAATAGAGCTTTAAAATATTTTCGGTTTTAAAGCATCTGATTTCTGATTAGAGCTGCTTGGCCTTTGTTAGCATTGGGGTCATGTGAGGAAAGCTGGGCTAGGGCTGGCAGCTTACAGTGGGGAGCGGCCTCTTCTGGAGTGTTTGGCAGCCTCCAGGGATTAAGAGAGCTTTGTATAGGCAGAGATCTGTCTTTCACCAAGAGCCATCTGCTAGCGCTGGTTCTTATACCTACAAAGGAAGGCCTCAGCGGACTTTAATCACGCCGGAGGCCTCCACACTGTACATTGTACAGCATCGCTGTTCTAAGAATAGGTACTGAGCTTGAACTGGCGCCTGCTTCCTGAGGTACAGGTGGAGTGTCAGAGTGCTGTGCCTCTCGTTACTCACCTGTCATTGTCATGACTTCAGGTTTTAGGGCTCTGGACCTCACTAGCTCCCAAAAGTGCCCTTGTCAGTATGATTCCAGTGCGGGGCTCCTCGTACGATGGAGCTCCTCATAGTTGCTTTGGCCAGGCTGTTAATTGGCCGTGTTGCCAGTTGTTCACCAGTTGTCTTCCCTGTGGACTAAATAATCAAAGCAGATATTTTCCTCCAAATCCCTTTCCTTGTCGGGAGCATACTGTTGGATTACTGCCATTAATTTTGTGTGTTTGATCTTAAAAGAGGGTGGTTTTTTTGTTTGTTTTGTTTTTAAGGTAAGGTGCCATGGTTGGCCTAGGTTGGCCTCAAACACTGATCTGATCCTCCTGCCCGTACCTCCCAAGTACTGGGATTATATGTGTGTGTCAAAAAGAATTGGGTTTTCCCTTTTTTTTTTTTTTTTTTTTAAATTAAAACATTTTGTAAAGTATATTTTGATCATATTATTTTCTCCCCTCACTCCTCCCAGGACCCCCCTACTTCCCTACTCGCCAAACTTCATCCACACACTCTGTCTCTCAGAGGAAAAACACAACCCCACAAAAATCAAACGAAAAACCCCAATAAGACAAAAATTACCAAAAGAAAACAAAGAGCCTAAAAAAGCATGGAGTCTGTTTTACGTGGCCC